CTTCTGACTCTTTCTTGCCTCTCCCACCTTCCCTCATTGCTCCTCACAGGAGTATGCACACCTGTTCCATCAAGTCACACTCTTACATCCTGGCATTTCATCGAGATTCTGGGGAACTCAGGGAAGGGGGACTGTTTGGTGACCACTTCCTAACTCAGAGAGCAATGATGCTGCACTAACTCAGCCTAGCGAGGAGGTTCTCACTAGCACCCTTCGCCGATAAAAGAACCGAAGCTCAGAGAAGTTCGATGATTTGCTTCTTCACACCGTGGCAGCGCTGGTCACGATAGAACCCACGATTCCCGACTTCGGTATTCTTTCCACCACACACTTTTGTCCTAAGGGGAGCAGTGCGGGGGTAGGATAACAGAATTACCAGAAAAAAGGGACCACTTATATGTGTCTAGCGCTTCCTAGAGGCTACACAGTATATGGGCTCAGCACCCAGCCAGCAGCGGAGAGATTTAAAATCCTCCTACCCGACTTCTCGCTGCGTGACTTCAGACGAGTGTCGGCCGCTCTCGGACTTATTTTCCCGGAAGCAAATCAGGGCGAAAGGAGTGTGAGTGAGTGTGTGAGTGTGTAGTGTGTGTGTGTTTAATGTGCGTTTTCTTGGTGTGCGGGGGCAGGGAGTAGACGATCACCGGGGTTCCCCGGGTTTCGGATTCCCTAAACGCTCGTTCTCCACTGGACGTTGAGTTGTCCCCTAATTCCACCTCCTATTACAAAAAAAAAAAAAAAAAACTACCCTGAGACAAAGCTGTGACCCCGCACCCTTTCTTCTGCAGTCGGATGAGTGAAGTGGGGGTGCAGCGGGGACTTAGCTGAGTACCCTGTTTCCAGCAATGCAAATCACTCAGCATCTAGGCGCAGCCAGACAGCAGGGCGTCCGATCGCTAGTGAACTTGACCAAGAGACAAACTTCCGAGCCTACTCAGCGTGGGGGGCTGCCTCTCGCGAGACCGCCCCTAAACTTAAGCCCACTTTCACTCGTCCCCACAGGAGAATAGAGCCACCTTAAGGGCGGTGCTCCCGCCCCCCGGAAGTGCGGGGGGAGGAAGGACTCGAGTGCTCGGCCTCCCCGCCCCGCGCGGCGACAAAGTGACCGTGGATGGCATCGAGCACCCCCTTATGGCATCGAGCACCCCCTCCCCAAAGGGGAAAAATACCACCCGTCCCGCACCCTCGGCTCCAGACACCTGGCCGGGTTCCCCACTCTTCCGGGTCCCTGCAACCTCTGCATTCCCGCCCCGAGACCCGAACTTGCGCCCGCGTCCACCCCGCTAGCAGTAGCCACCGTCACTAGACAGTCAAACCCCAAGACGTCAGCCCACAATGCACCGGGCGGGCCGGGAAAGACGCGCCGAGCTGGGGAGGGCGAAGAGAGGGGCGCGAGTCGCGCGGGAGGGGGGAGGGGGCAGGAGGCGAAAAAAGGGCCCAACTGTAGGAGGGCAGCAGAGCATTACCTCATCCCGTGAGCCTCCGCGGGTCCGAAGAAGAATCTTCTAGGGTGGGGTCTCCATGGCGACGGGCGGGCCCGCCCCCTTGAGAGAGACGCAAGCCAATGGGAAGGCCGTGGGGTGACATCATGGGCTATTTTTAGGGGTTGACTGCTAGCAGATAAGTGTTGAGCTCCCGCTGGATAAGGGCTCAGAGTTGCACTGAGTGTGGCTGAAGCAGCGAAGCGGGAGAGGAGGTTTCGCGGACTCAGGGAGACAGATATAGTCAGTCAGTCAGGACGGCGGTAGAGTCCGAACTGCAAATCTTATTTTCTTTTCTATTTTCTCACCAACTGCCCAGAGCTAGCGCCTGTGGCTCCCTGGCTGGTGTTTTGGGGAGCGTCCGAAGAACCCCTTCTCCAGCCGCCCCAGAAGAAGCGCCTGCTGCTCGGGCGCCGCTGACAGCGCGGAGAGCGGCGACTGTCGTCCGGAGGAGTCCGGCGAGCCGCTGCAGCGGCAAAGAACTTTCCTGGCCAGGAGGACAGGGGACAAGTCCCGGAGCGAACTTTTGCAAAGCTTTCCTCCCCCGAAGCTGCCGCGGCGGCAGTAAAGAAAAGAAGGCGGCGGAGAGAGAAGAGCGAGGAGGGACTTGAGCTCTGCTTCTCTCGCACGGGTTGCTGAACTTGGGCGAGCGCGAGCCGAGGCCGCCGGGCGTCCCCCTCCCCTTCGCAGCGGAGGAGGGGACAGTCGTCGGAGTCCGGGCGGCGGAGACCCACCGCCGGCCGGCACCTCAAAGGTCCGCGCTGAGTGTCGTCACCGGGAGAGCCGTTGTCGCCGGGAAGC